CCCTATGGAGCTCCGAAGGTCCCAGTGGCGCAGCCCGCATGCGTCCGCCCCACCCGGTACAGCGCTTTGTGGCCCCATGGGGAGCTCCACCGAAGGCCCCAGTGGCGCACCCCGCATGCGTCTCCCACACCAAGTACACCGATCGTGGCCACATAGGGAGCTCCACCGAAGGTTCCACTGGCGCACCCCGCATGAGTCCCTCCCACCCAATACAGCCTTTCGTGGCCCCATAGGGAGCTCCACCGAAGGTCTCAATTGCGCAGCCCGCATGCGTCTCACCCACCGAGTACTTCGCTTTGTGGCCTTATAGGGAGCTCCGACGAAGGTCCAGTGGCGCAGCCCGCATGCGTCTCCCCCACCAGTGCCCACCAGTGCAGCGCTTCGTGGCCCCATAGGGAGCTCCACCGAAGGTTCCAGTGGCGCATGCGTCTCCCCCACCCAATACATTGTTTCGTGGCCCTACAAGGAGAGAGCTCCAGGACGGCCCACGAAGGGCCCAAGACGGCCGCAAATGTGGGCCCGGGGCCCTCGGGGAGCCCCGCCAAGGAGGCTCCAAGAGGCTCCAGAACAGACCCGGGACGCCCGAAGGTCGCTCCCAGACACCCAACATGGCGTCCAAGGCGGCTTCAGAAGCCCCCAAGACACCCCAAGCGACCCCCAATAGGGCCCCAAAGAGAGCCCCAAGGGGCCAAAATAGCCCCATTCCCTTTGTAAAACGTATATGTTTAACATATTGCTTGTTTTCGCTGTCGGTCCTGCCCAGGACGCGCCCCAGAGGGACCCAATACAGCCCCAGAGAGCTCCAGGACGGCCCACGAAAGGCCCAAGACGGCCGCAAATGTGGGCCCCGGGGCCCTCGGGGAGCCCCGGGGCCTCACAGAAGACCGCCAGAAGGCGCCAAGGATGCCCCCAGAGGATATATGTAGATGAATACCAGGTCCCCAGCCCGGGGGCCCCGCCCACCTCAAAACCCTTGGGCCCCCCTTTTTCAATACCCCCGCCCTGGCGCCTCCAAGGGGCCTCCAGACGGCCCAGGAGGCCTCCAGAAGGCCTCCAAGACGGCCTCAGGAAGCACCCAAGATGTCCATGAGGGCTCCGAGACGCCACAAGATCGGTCCAATACAGTCAAGATAGTCCCTACACGGCCCAAGAGGCTTCCAAGACACCCCAAAAGGCCTCCAAGAGGCTTTTTCAAGAGGGCCACAAGAGGCTAACAATTGTTGTTTTTCAAGGGTTTGGTGGGAGGATGTTTTGTGGTTCTCACCTTTGCGGCTTCCTGGCGCTCCAAGATAGCCAAAGAGATTCACGAGATCGCCCAAAGACGGCCCAAGAGGCTCCCAAGACGGCCCCAAGACAGCCCAAGAGGGACCCAAGCAGCCCAAGAGGCCTCCAAGACGGTCCAAGATAGCCCCAAGACGGCTCTAAGAAGGGACCCAGACAGGGAATCCGATCGGACTGTTCGAGCCTTCGGCCCCAGAAAGCTCCCAGGAGACTCCAAGAAGCGCCCCGGAGGCCCCCAAGACGCCGCCAGAAGCCCCCGAAGGGCTCCCAAGATGCATGTCACGGGTGCGCGACAAAAAGATGCCATGGGCCATGCTGGTGGTCTCTCCCCCTGTGCTGGTCTCGCGGGAGACGCTGCAGGATCCCATGTTCCCTTGGTTCATCGTCAGGCTTCGAGCCTCCATTAGGGTACGCTTCTTCGCCGTCTTCGGCCCCGGGTGGGCGCCGTGCCTTGTGGAGGCTATTCTATAGGCTTACGCCACATCCGCCGACCCCTTTTTTTCCGCGTGGTCGTTATCACGGCTTCTTTGCAAGCTGCGGGAAAGATTCAGGTGGTGACCTTGAACTGTGTTCGGGTGCTGTTGGGCGGGCCGTCGCGCATGGGCGCCGTTCTGGGGCCCTGTCGCGGGGGGTATCAGGCATGCACGGGGTGTTTGGGGGTTCTCTCCGAAGGTTCCGTGGTCGTGGGGGTTCTCTCCGAAGGTTCCGTGGTCGTCCTTGGGGCTTTTCGAGTGGTGGAGTCGGGGCAGTACGTTGCACGCCGGTGACATCTCAAGGGTGTCGGCGGATGCCGTCCGAGAGTACTGTGGATTATGATGGTCGGAGTCTTTCGGGTAGTGTGTTGTCGGGGGCATTCGTTGCCTTGGCTGGACGCGGCTCGAGTGTGTCTTGTGATGTGAGGCGGTGCTTGGCCCGTTCTCATTGATCAAGGCACAGGCACGAAATTGTTGGTGAACCATTTCGTTCCTTCTGCGACAGGGTTTCCCGTTCCGTTTTGGGCACGGTCCGTTTTGGGGGTCGGCGGTGCGGGGGGTGCTGGTTCACGTATCGCATGCGGTGAGCGCGCTGATCTCTTTCAGTAAGCGGTGTCCCAGAGCAGATGGGACAGAGGGGGGGCAGGAGTCTGGCTTGGGCCGCATTCATGACAGCGTCAGACACGAATCGAAAACAATTTTTTACGCTTCGCGTATCCCCACCAGCCCATCTCACAACAGGAACTCTTGCGAAGCATGCCGACAGTTGTGTGTTTCAGGCGTGTGTCCGCTTTGCCCCGCATATCTCCCTCGTTCCTCCTTCCTCCCGCCTCCTTGTACATCCTCCTTGTGGGGGCGGCGGGAGAAGGACGAGGCGGAGGAGGAGGGAGAGAAAACGCTCATCGTGGTTTGAGTCGTTTGGGGTGTCTCCTCCTGGTGTGAGTCGTTCGGGCCCTTCTTCCTGGTGTGAGTCGTTCGGGCTCTTCGTGGTGTGAGTCGTTCGGGCTCTTCGTCCTGGTGTGAGTCGTTCGGGCTTCTCGTGGTGTGAGTTGTTCGGGCCCCTCATCCTGGTGTGAGTCGTTCGGGCCCCTCCTCCTGGTGGTACTCGTTCGGGCTCCTCGTGGTGTGAGTCGTTCGGGGCCCTCGTCGTGGTTGAGTCGTTCGGGCTCCTCGTGGTGTTGAGTCAGTTCGGGGGGCGCTCGTCCTGGTGTGAGTCGTTCGGGCCCCTCCTTCTGGTGTGCGTCGTTCGGGCTCTTCGTGGTGTGCGTCGTTCGGGCCCCTCGTCCTGGTGTGAGTCGTTCGGGCTCCTCGTGGGGCCTCTTGGGGGGCTCTTGGAGGCTCTTGGGGCCTCTCGGGGGCCTCTTGGGAGCCTCTTGGGGGCCTCTTGGGGGCCTTTTGGGGCCTCTTGGGGCCTCCTGGGGGCCTCTTGGGGGCCTCTTGGGGGACTCTTGGGGTCTTTTGGGGGCCCTCTGAAGCGCAAAGGAGCGCTGGCCCCTGAGAAGGAGAAAGTGAGCCCTGTGTACGTCCCCGGGTAATTATCCGGTCTGGGGACACGTCCGGAGGCATCTGCCGGTTCGAGCAAGTTTTGTTCGAGCATGTCGATGTATAGCATGTCGTGTGCAGCTTCGACTGCCGTGTCACCCGCGGTGGACGCACCAGGAGGCGTCCTACGCACTGGAGGCGTCCAGCGCGCTGGAGGCGCCCCGCGCACTGGAGGCGTCCAACGCGCTGGAACTAGCCAGCTGCCTGGCGGCACCCACCGCCGCTTCACCAGAGGAGCGTTCGTTGGAGAAACCGTGAGAATGAGGATGATGACGAAGAGGCCGGTGATGATGATAATGATGGTAAGCATGACGGTGAGTATGGGAATGAGCACGATGAGGTTGGTGAAGACGCTGATGATGGTGATTACGGTGGCGGTGACGATGATAACGATGTTGACGATGACGACGCGAATTTCGATTATGGTGCGGTCGTGATGCTGAGGGCGATGGGCAGTGATGTTGTTTGCTTTGATGATGATACTGGTGATGTGATCAGGGCGATGATGATTGCGACGCTTGTGGTGATGATGATGAAGATGATGTGATGATGCTGATGATGGTGATGGCGACGATGATGTTGTGGATGAATCTCCAATACCGTGCGGTCCATCCCGCTTTGGTGCCCGGGCTGTGTGTGAACTGTTTCTGTAATGCTGGTTGGGATATCGTGGGAAGCCTCTGGGGCTCTTCTTTGAACCAGTTGTCAGACATCTTCGGGGCTCTTTGGGACCTTTTTTGCCGAGGAGTTTTTTTTTGAGTTTTTGAAAGTTTTGGGGCCTTTTTGAATCCTGTGGAGGCTTCGTGGTGACCTCTTCGAGTCATTTCGGGTCTGTCGGGGGCCTTGGCGGCAGTTTCGGGCGGAAGGGTTCGATTGTTGGTTCGTGTTTCCCTGTGGGGCTTGTCTTGAGGCCATCGATGGGCTTTTGTGGGCCGTCTGGTCTCTGGTCTCTGGTCTGTGGGGCGGGGGGGTCGACTTCTCCCGAGGCCTTCTTGGGCCAGCGATGGTGGTCGATAGGATGTTGCAACGTTCAACAACTCGCATTCCTTTGGATTGGACGACATCGCACGTCGTGCATATGGGCACGGTGGCGGATACCACACTGTCTTGATCTGGAGCGACGGGTCTGCCGTGGCGTGCGGCACTCTGTCGCGGACCTCACCTATACACAGGTTGCTGCTGGATTTACCCACACCGTTCTGCTCAGGAGCAACGGCTCCGCCGTGGCACGCGGCGACAATGCGACGTGTCAGTGCGACCTCCCTGCGCTGCATGCAGACCTCACCTACACGCAGGTTGCCGCTGGATCATGGCACAGCGTTTTGCTCAGGAGCGACGGTTCCGCCGTGACCTGTGGCCTGAATGATACTTGTCAGTGCGACCTCCCAGCGTTGCCCGACGCGCTTACGTACACGCAGGTCGCCTTTTTTTTTTTTTTGGTTTTCACACCGTGCTGCTCAGGAGCGACGGCTTCGCCGTGGCCTGTGGCAACAATGTTTTCGGTCAGTGCGATTTGCCCGTGCTGGTCTCGGGCCTCAGTTACATACAGGTTGCCGCCGGATCCTACCACGCCATCCTGCTCAGGTGCGACGGTACCGCCGTGGCATGCGGCTGCAATGAAGAGGGCCACTGCGACCCCCCGGCATTGATCGCGGACCTCATCTACACACAGATCGCCGCTGGCTTATCGAGCTGCCTGCGGCAGACCACGCCACCAGGCAAACGCACCAGCGCAGCAGGAAGGAGCCCCCCTTTCAGGAGCGGGGAGAAGGAATCTAAATTAGAGGACGTGGAGGAAGAGTGAGAGAAGGAGCAGGAGGAGGAAGGAATATCAGGAGGTGGAGGAGGAGGCGGAGCAAAAGGACCAGAGGTGTCATGGATGCCTCTCGGAGCTTCTTGGGATATAGCTGGGGCGCTTCTTGGAGGCCTCTCCGGTCGTCTTGGGGGTCTCTGGGCGGTCGTGGGGGGCTATTGGGCGTCTTGGTGCCCGGGGGGGCCTCCAAGGACCGCTTCGGCCTCTCGGAGGCTTCTGGGAGCTTCTTAGAGGCTTCATAGGGCCATCTTCGGGGGTTCTTTTGGGGCCTCCTGGGGTCTCCTGGGCGCCAGTGGGGCAAATCTTGGAGGAAATCGATTTAAAAAAGAGGGGAGTTTTAAGGAGCCCTGCCCTTCTGTGGCCCCTAATCTTCTCATGGACTCCTCCGGGGCCACTCTTGGGGCGCTCCTGGGCGTTCTTGGGGCCGTCGTGGGCTTTTCTTGGGCCTGTCTTGGGGCCATCTTGAGGCCTCTTGGAGCGTGAAAGCGAGAAGGAGCAAATCATCGGTTGTGTCTAGGTGTTTGTTGGCCTCTTCGAGGCTTCCTTGGAGGTCTCGGAGGCCTCTTGGCATCGTCTTGGAGCGTTATTGGGGCTTCTGGCGCTATTTGGAGCCATCTTGGAGCTCATCTTGGGTTCCCCGAGGCACTTTTGGAGCCGTCTTGGACGAAAAGGTACCGTTTGACACCTCGCGGCTCCTCCCGTCCAGGGCTAGGGGAGAGGGTGAGGGGCACGGGGGAACTTCTCCACGAAGGGGAGAAAGGAGAGTTCGCAGAGGACGCGCCTTCCATCGCCTACGCCCAGATGGCTGGTGGGCTTTAGATGGTTGTATTCGTTTGGCTTCTGGCAGTCCTCTTGGGTGTCCTCTTGGAGGGATTCTTTTGGCCTGATGGGCTGCGTTGTTGCTGTCCTGGGCCAGTCGTAGTTCGCGCGTGCGCCGAGGGGAGCCGGCCCGTGAAAACAACCGACAGTGTAGCATAAGCAGACAGCAGGACAACACTATTACGCTCCAGTGTGCAGCTGGCACGGTGGCGGATGCCACACCGTCCTCATCAGGAGCGACGGCTCCGCCGTTGCGTGTGGCAGTAGTGAAGATTGTGCGACCTTCCCGCGCTGAATGCGGGCCTGACCTACTCGCAAGCTTTCGCTGGTTTTTTCCACACCGTGCTGCTCAGGAGCGACGGCATCGCCGCGACATGTGGCCCGAATGACATCGGCCAGTGCGATCTCCCAGCGTTGATCGGTGGCCTGACTTATACGCAGGTTGCCATAGGGATGTACCACACTGTCCTGCTCAGGAGCGACGGCGCAGCTGTGGCCTGTGGCAATAATAGTTTCGGTCAGTGCGACTGCCCTGCGTTGGTCGAGGGCTTCGTTTATACATTGGCCTTCGTCTTATCTCGCCATTATGGTTGTCGAGTGGGTGAGTGGTATCTTTGCACGAGGTTTCCTCGGCGGCTTTCCCCATTCACAGTGCCCTGGGGCTTCCCAGGCCCGTCTGGACTTGCAGGAGGCGTGTGTTCGGCCTCAAGGGGCGGCCTAGGGCATCTGGGGGACGCGACGGTTCAGCACAAAGACGTGTCCGGAATTTTTGAAACGTAGCTTTCTAAGGGCCTTTGTTGCCCAGAAGCTGGCCCATGGGAAGACGGGCGCCGGTCCAACTCGGCCAGGCGGAATTCGGCTAGGTCGAACTCGGCCAGCCGAGTTCGAACTGGCCGAATTTCGCCGGCCGAGTTCGGTCGGCCGAGTTTGGCCGGCCGAGTTTCGCCTGGCCGAGTCCGGCCTGGCCGAGCTCGGCCACAACCAGATAACTCAACATTACTCCCCTACTCCTGTTATCTTTCTCCTATTCACTGCTCCTACACACCAATCTCCTTACCTACTACCCCACTGCATATCCCTATTCCCCCTTCATCCCGCTCATAAGCAGTATTGTGACCGCTCCGACTTCTTTCCGCAGGTTCGCCGATCACGTCACGAGATCGGCGCGGATGCCGTTCAGGCGAGCAGTGGCCCGTGCATCTTCCCGGCAACCCCAGACTATGTGAGGGCCATCCCACATACGGAACCCAAAGTTGCGAGGATGTCTCAAGCGAGTTTGCCCTCACCACAAATCGGCAGGGCATCTCCGAGAGCAGGGTTGTGAGGATGTCTATGGCGAAAGTGGTCCGGTCACTTCTGCTCAATTCGTCCCGGAAAACCCTGGGCCAGGGCATCCCGCATCTAGGAACCTGGAGTGGCGGGGCACGGCACCTACAGCACCTAGAGCACCTACAGCAACTAAAGCACCTACAGCACCCACGGCAGCCACAGCGCCTGCAACACCTACGACACCTACGGCACGCACGGCACCTACAGCACCTACAGCACCTACAGCACCCACGGCACCTACAACACCTACAGCACCTGCAGCACCCACAGCACCTACAACACCTGCAGCACAGCATGTACAAGACCCACGGCACCAACAGCATCACAGCATCTACAGCAGCGACATCATCTGCAGAACCCTGGGCAGCCACATCACCTGAAACACCTACAGCAGCCACGGCACCTACAGCACCTACAGCACCCACAGCACCCACGGCACCCACAGCACCTACATCACCTACAACACCGACAGCACCCACAAGACCTCCCTATACAGCACATACAGCACCTACAGCAGCCACGGCACCCACAGCACCGACGGCACCCACAGCACCTAGAGCATGCACAGCACCCACAACACCCACAACACCTACAGCACATACAGCACCCACAGCAACCACGGCACCTGCATACAGGACCCAACGCACCTATAGCACCCATGACACCTACAGCACTTAGGGCTCTTACGGCACTTACATCACCTACAGCACCTGCAGCACCCACGGCACCTACAGCACATACAGCACGGCCTACAGCACCTACTGCACCCACGGCACCCACAGCGCCTACATCAGCCACGGCACCTACTGCTCCCACACCCACAGCACCTACGACACCTACATCACCTGAAGCACCTACAGCACCCACGGCACCCACAGCCAACGAAGCCCACGACACCGACAGAACCTACAACACCTACATCACCCACAGCACCCACGGCACCCACGGCACCCACAACACACTCAGCACCTACAGCACCTACCTGCAGCGCCCCCTACAGCACGCACATCACCTACAGCACCCACGGCACCCACATCACCTACAGCACCCACAGCACCCACGGCACCTACATCACCTACTACACATACAGCACCCACAGCATCCACAGCACCCGTATCACCTACAGCACCGTCAACACCTACAGCACCCACGGCACCTACCGCACCCACAGCACCCACAACACCTACAAAACCTACAGCACCCACAGCACCCACAGCACGCACAGCACCTACAGCACCCACAGCAACCGCATTCCACCTACAGCACCCGCAGCACCTGTAGCACCTACATCACATACAGCAACCACAGCACCCACAACATCCCCAGTACTTACAAGACTCCTACAGCACTCACGGCCCCTACAGCACATACAGCAGCTACAACACCCACGGCACCAACAGCCCCTAGAGCACGTTCAGCACCTACCGCATTTACAGCACATACAGCTTTTGCAGCACCCACATCAACTACAGCGCTTGCAGCACACACAGCAACTGCAGCACCTAGAACACACACTGCACCAACAGCACCTACAGCACCTACATCACCTACGGCACATACAGCACCCACGGCACCCACAGCACCTACCGCACCTACAGCATCCGCGGCGCTTACTGCATTTTCACTAACCACAGCATTTGCAGCACCCACTGCACCCACAGCACGTAACTCACCTGCAGCACCTACACTAGCTTCCGCACCTACGGGACCTACAGCCAAGCACCTACAGCAAATACAGCACCCACAGCACCTGCAGTACCCACCTACAACACCTACCGCGCCTACAGCATCCAGCGCTCCCACAGGCCCTGCAACACCCACAGCACCCACAGCACCCGTATCACCTAAAGCACCGACAGCACCCACAAAACCCACAGCACACACACCACCCACTGCACCTACAGCAACCACAGCATCGACAGCACCCACAGCACCTACAGCACCTACAGAACTTCCAACACCTCCAGCATCTCCAGCACCTACAGCACCCACAGCACCCACAGCACCCATAGCATCTACATCACCTATAGCACCCACAGCACCTACAGCACCTACATCAACTACAGCACCCACATTACATACAGCACCTAAAGCGCTTACAGCACCCACGGCACCTACAGTATCTGCAACACCAACAACACCCATAGCACCCACAGCACTTACACCACCCACATCACCCACAGCCCTTACAGCACGTGCATTACCTACATCACGTACACCACTTACAGCACCAGTAGCACCCGCAACACCTACATCACTCACCGCACCTACAGCACCCACAACACCTACAGCACCCACAGCACCTACAGCACTTGCAGCACCTACAGCACCCACAGCCCTACAGCGTCTACAGCACCCACAGCACCCTGGCCGAGTTCAGCCTGGCCGAGTTCGACCGGCCGAGTTGGGCCGGGCCGAGTCGGACCTCTTCCGAACAGGCATGGGAGAGTAGATGATGATGAGGAGGAGGAGGAGGAGGAGGAGCAGGAGGAGGAAGAATAAGAGGAGCATGGGGGAGGAGGAGGACCAGATGAAGAGGGCGAGGGAGAGAAATATCCATGATTGTCGAGGGCTCACAATAACACAGTGTTGGGGGGATATGCAAGCCTTGAAAGTCGCGGCTCGGGCCATGACAGCGGATAGGGACGATGCATCAACAATGTTTCATGGAGTCGAGCCGTCTATCGATGGCATGCCGACCAGCCTCCACTACGTGCTCACGATATGGCGGCGCTGGCGACTCTTGCGAGTCGGGTGAGCTTACGTCCGAACAAGTTGAGAAGGCGCCTGCCCAAGCAGTGGCCGACGCGATGATAGCGCGAGGTTTCTGGGGGCCAGCGCCTGTCTGCGAGAAGTGTGGGGCGGTGAAAGGCGCGGTAGCCGATAAGAATCGCATTCGGTGGCAATGCGGGGGCGTTGCTGCCAATACGGGCGCGGATGGTGCACAGACGGAGAAGTGCAAGTCGGGTCGTCCATCTGTGTTGTTGGGCAGCCCTTGGTATGACCCCTCGGGCCGAGGTGCCGCAGCACGGATAGTGGCTGTCATTGTTTTGGCTTCGCTGGAGGGGCTGGACCTAGGAGCCATCGCACGGAGGGCTGGCGTGGGTGAGCAAGTGGTCGCACGGGTGCAGGCTTGCATGCCCGCGGCGACGAGCGCGGCTCCTGCCTCCTCCAGCGCCGATGTAAAGAGAAGGAGGACGGATATCGGAGACGACGAGGGCGTGAGTGCTAAACATTGGCACCGACCAGTGGCTTGGAAGAGACTGGGCGAGGAGCTGGCTCGGTTATGGGACGTCGATTGTCAGGCGGCCGTGACAACGGCTGCACGTTGTTACGTTGTCGTTCGCACGGGCTTGAGCATGGCGAAGGAAAGCGGCCGCGACTTCGATGTCGACGCCCTGTCGGCCGGCACCTGGGTGTCGCAAGAGACGCTGCGGAAGTTCATGGCGGCGACGAACGACCGGAAGCAGTATCGTTGCTCCACGCACGAGGTGAGCTTGCCTGCGTCCTTCCTGACGGCGTGCCAGATGCTGAACCTCCACGAGGTCTTCAGCGCGCATGATCCTGTCCAGATTCGCGCGCGGGGGTGCATCGCGCAGTGCCGTGGGTTGGCGACGGACGATAGGAGCAGCGTGCAATGCTGGCGCTCCGTCCTGCGGGCCGTGATTATCATCCACGCTACACGCCGGCACGAATACGCACCGTGTGTGGTGGGAAACAGTTTGGCGACAGCGCAGGAGGTTTTGGATTGTTTCGTCGGGTCGAGCCGAGTAGAATTGGAAATGAGGCGGCGGCCGACGAGCGAAGGGAGGTTTTTCTGCGGCTCGAGGTCCGTCGTGCTGGGTGTGTTGAATAGGAGCAACGTGTTGGACACATTCGACGGCGGGGACTACTGTCAGGATTTCGAAGAGATGGTCGCTTTCGTGCAGCGCTCTGCGGCGGGGGCGAGCTCCGGTCGCGTGGGCGCGCCGGTGCTGGACTATTGCTGGGGCAGGGTGAAGAACTGGCGTGGCTTCGGCGGTGCGGGCAACGAGCCCGGAGGCAACGTGGGCGGCTTCGTTGCCAAAAACGTTGCGTTTCAAGGTGTCCGGAATATTCTTCACCATTACGGGTTTGAGCATGGGGCCCCGGAGGCGTTCGTGTCGGGGCCCAATCCATGCAAGTTGGCGCGCGTGTATTCGCAGACGCCGCCCCCGTCGCGGGAACAGCAGGTCGCCATGTATTCTGCCGTGCTGGAAGGCGTCGATGACTGCGTCGTCACGTATGGCGCGGTCTCGCGGAGGCTTCATTCGGTCGACGCAGTTGTGCTACAAGACAATCTGTGCAAGGCCGTGGAAGTGTTGCAGACAGTCACTACCGGTCGCTTCTTCGGGGAAGCTCGTAAGTCGTCTTTGGCGCGGTTTGGCGTCGCCGTGGCGCCCGAGCGGGCTCTGTCCTCGCCGGAGTGCTCTGGCGACGAAGAGCCTGGTTGAGATGCGTTGCGCCATCCCGCAATATGTCAGACATTGGACACGTTGCGCGGCGGGTGGCGCGCTTGCATGCCCGGGGGATCCAAGATCAAAAAAACCTTTCTTCCTCAGGGGTGATCCTGGCGGCGCAGTAGGAGAGGCGGCGCTTCGTGGCCCGATGGTCCTTCGGGGCGAGGGGCCCAACTTGGTAGCGTCGGAACTCTTACACGTCAAAATACGTGTGCGGAGGGGGGGGGGGGGCGAGGGGCCCAACGTGGTTGCGTCAGATCTTACGCGTAAAAATAAGCGTGCGGAGGGGAAGGGGGGGTGGGGGGGCGAGGAACCCAACTTGGTGGCGTCGGAACTCTTACACGTCAAAATACGTGTGCGGAGGGGGTGCGAGGTGCCCAACTTGGTAGCGTCGGAACTCGTACACGTAAAAATACGTTTGCGGATGGGGGCGAGGGGCCCAACTTGGTAGCGCTGGAACTCTTACATGGAAAATGCGTGGGCGGAGGGGGGGGGCGAAGGGCCCAACTTGGTAGCGTCGGAACTTTTACGCGTAATAATATGTGTGCGGAGGGGGGGGGGCTCAACTGGTAGATGATCAAAACCTCCTACGCGTAAAATTACGTGTGCGGAGGGGGGGGGGGCGAGGGGTCCAACTTGGTAGCGTCGGAACTCTTTCACGTAAAAATACGTGCGCGGTGGGGGGGCGAGGGGCCCAACTTTGTAGCGTCGGAGCTCATGCGCGTGAAAATACGCGTGCGGAGGGGGGGCGAGGGACCCAACTTGGTAGCGTCGGAACTCGCACACGTGAAAATACGTGCGCGGAGGGGGGGGGGGGGGGCTCAATGGTAGCGCGAGCAGCGTACCACCGTAAAAAAAACATGTTACGCGGAGGGGGCGATTTGTTTTTTGCAGCGTTGAACTCTCAGGGAAAACACGTGAGGCGGAGGGGGGGGGGGGGGGGCGAGGGGCCCAACTTGGTAGCGTCGGAACTCTTACGCGTAAAAATATGTGTGCGGAGGGGGGGGACTCAACTTGGTAGCGTCGGAGCCCTTACACGTAAGAATACGTGTGCGGAGGGGGAGCGAGGGGCCCAACTTGGTAGCGTCGGAACTCTTTCACGTCAAAATACGTGTGCGGTGGGGGGGCGAGGGACCCAACTTTGTAGCGTCGGAGCTCATACACGTGAAAATACGTGTGTGGAGGGGGGACGAGGGATCCACATTGGTAGCGTCGGGACTCTTACACGTGAAAATACGTGTGCGGAGGGGGGGGCTGCAACATGAGTCTCGGTTGCCGCTCGCCTCTCGGTCCTCGGCGGGGCGTGGCGCTGTAGCGGGGCGCCCCTCTGCCCGCGCGGGGCAGATGCCTTCTCCTCCTCCGGGGGGGGACGGGGGAGGGGCAGCAGGGGGAAGGAGGAGGAGAGAGGTGGAGGATGAGGGAGGGATTGAGGGGAGGTGAGGAGAGGAGAGAGGAGGAGGAGGAGGAGGAGGAAGGATGAGGAGGAGGAGAGGAGGAGGAGGAGGAGGAGGACGAGGGAGGAGAGCGAGGATGTTGAAATGGGGAGGAGGAGGATGGGAGGAGGAGGAGGAGGAGGAGGGGAGGAGGAGGAAAAGGAGGAAGGGAGGAGGAGGAAGAGGAGGAGGAGGAGGAGAGGAGGGAGAGGAGGAGGAGGAAGAGGAGGGGAGGAGGAGGAGGAGGAGGAGGAGGAGGAGGAGGAAGAGGAGGAGGAGGAGGAGGAGGAGGGCAGGAGGAGGAGGAGGAGGAGGAGCAGGAGCAAGAGGAACAAGAGGTGCAGGAGGAGCAGGGCGAGCAGGAGGAAGAGCAGCAGGAGGATAAACAGGACGTGCAGGCGGTAGCGGCTGCGCAGAAGGAAATAGAAAGTGCAGCACGCGTGTCAGACGAAAGTGTGGCTTCAGTTCCTTACCGAGTTCGTGGATCCCTCAAGTTTCTTGTGGGGACGTGGCGGGGGGGAGTGTTGCACCTTGCACGGCGCTCGCACCTAAAGCCCCGGAGTTTCGTTGAAGCCTCGGGAGTGTTCGGGGGCAGGGTGCAGTGCCTTCATGCCGCGCGCAGTAAGTTGGCCAATGCTTGGATCCATCGTCGGCCAGGTGGAATCATCTTTGAGGCTTGTTTGAACTTGCAGGCTCGCGGGTGGGGTTCAAGATCTTCGGACCCGCAGATCCGCTTATGAAATGCATTATTTCCTGTCGGGTCCATGCGCGTGGATCCTTGCATCTTGCTCTTTGCTCGCGCTTCCGCCTGTCGAGCTTGCAAGGGCAGTGTGGATTGGCTCAGGCTTTTCGGTGCCTGGCGGACGGTCGCTGGAGCCATCTTCGGCCAGCTGGAATCATCACTCGGGGTTTGAACGCGGGACGGGTAAACAATTCCTGGACCCGCAGATTCGCTGTTGAAATGCATCCTTTCATGTGGAGCCATGCGCGTGGGTTGGTTCATCTTCCGCGGTGCATGCGCCGACGGCCCTTGAGTTAACGTGACGCCTAGGGAGTGCGCGGGCAAAGGGTGGGGTGGTTTCAGGCCCCTTGAAGCAAGTTGGGAGCTAATTGAAGTCATCTTCGGCCATCTGGAACCATGTGTGAGGCAATCATCGATCTTGCGTGCCGGTTAAACAATCTCTGGACCCGCAGATCCGCCTATGAAATGCATTCTTTCCTGTCGGGTCCATGCGCGTGAATCCTTGCATCTTGCTCTTTGCTCGCGCTTCCGCCTGTCGAGCTTGCAAGGGCAGTGTGGATCGGCTCAGGCTTTTCGGTGCCTGGCGGACGGTCACTGGAGCCATCTTCGGCCAGCTGGAATCATCACTCGGGGTTTCTTGAAACATTCTGGAACACGGGTCGGCTAAACAATTCCTGGACCCGCAGATTCGCTGTTGAAATGCATCCTTTCATGTGGAGCCATGCGCGTGGGTTGGTTCATCTTCCGCGATGCATGCGCCGACGGCCCTCGAGTTAACGCGACGCCTCGGGAGTGCGCGGGCAAAGGGTGGGGTGGTTTCAGGCCCCTTGAAGCAAGTTGGGAGCTAATTGAAGTCATCTTCGGCCATCTGGAACCATGTGGGAGGCAATCCTCGATCTTGCGTGCCGGTTAAACAATCTCTGGGCCCGCAGATCCGCTTATGAAATGCATTCTTTCCTGTCGGGTCCATGCGCGTGGATCCTTGCATCTGGCTTTTTGCTCGCGCTTCCGCCTGTCGAGCTTGCAAGGGCAGTGTGGATCGGCTCAGGCTTTTCGGTGCTTGGCGGACGGTCACTGGAGCCATCTTCGGCCAGCTGGAATCATCACTCGGGGTTTCTTGAAACATTCAGGAACACGGGTCGGGTAAATAAGTTCTGGGCCCGCAGATTCGCTGTTGAAATGCATCCTTTCATGTGGAGCCATGCGCGTGGGTTGGTTCATCTTCCGCGATGCATGCGCCGACGGCCCTTGAGTTAACGTGACGCCTCGGGAGTGCGCGGGCAAAGGGTGGGGTGGTTTCAGGCCCCTTGAAGCAAGTTGGGAGCTAATTGAAGTCATCTTCGGCCATCTGGAACCATGTGGGAGGCAATCCTCGATCTTGCGTGCCGGTTAAACAATCTCTGGACCCGCAGATTCGCTTACGAAAAGGTATATTTAGGGATTTTCCCAGGGGGGGGAGGAGTGAGAGAGGTGGGAGAAAGAGATGGGTGGGAGCTCGACCACAAGCAACCTTCCGCGTTTTCTTCGCCGACGTCGCAAATGCAACGCCGACGTCGTCAGTGCATCGCCGATGTATCAGCGATGCGGCGAGATCTTCTGATCTTCTCTGTCCGGACCCCATCTGGGAGGACTCTGAAGACGACTCGCACGAATTGTTCTCTGGACTGATTATGCCGACAGCCTCTTGTGTCGGGCGCCTCCAGGACGAGGGCCGTTGTTATAGCAGCCACAGTTTGAGCAGCCCTCGCCCAGCTGTCGAGCCTACTGCACCGAGTGCTCGCGTGGCCCCTTGTTCCCAGGGATCCGATCCTCTCCCTGGTGTTCCGAGGGGCCCGTGCCTTTCGAGCGGGGGCCTCTCATTGCCTCGGGCATGGGTCGGAGGCGGCAGAGAGGGGGGCGATGACTGGGGGGGTGGATGACGGTGCATCTTCGGGGGACTTCGCCTGTCCCTCAATTTGTTTTTTTTGTACCCGACTTGGGCTCGATGCGGGCTCGGCGCGGATTTGGCGTGAATCCGACGCAGATTGGACACGGTTTCGACACGGATCCGACGAGTCCGAGACGGATTCGACACGGATTCGACGCGGATAGGGCCGCGACGGGCTGCAAAAGAGGGTGGGTATCATGGCGGGGGCCATGATTTTTCCCCAGGTCTTGTGGCGCCTCTCCTTGTTTCATTACGTCCCCGGCCCCCCCGCTGGGCTGCGCACGTGCCGCCGGCCATGATTTGCACCCCCCCGTCTTGGACACCTTCCTCTTGGCCGCCCCCGAATGGAGGTGGAGGGAGAGGGGGGCCATGCCAGGCCGACTCTGGATCTCTTCAGGCTTTTGGTTTGACCTGAAGTACAGTACTTTCAGCCTCAGCATTGGCTTTCGCTTTAGAATCGGTCTCGGCTTGAGCTTCAGGCCTTCGCTTTGGCGTTGGCCTTGCCGATCTTCCGCTGTCACTGGACTGCATTCGGCTCAGCAGTTGTGCTACACTATGATACAGCACTTCATAATCGGCGTGGGTTTCTCTTGGCATTTTAGGTAGCTTTAGTCTGTTGTGTAGGCTATCTTGCCCACGGTCGCCGTGCAGAAGCAGTTGCACGGCCAACTCAGAGTGAATCGTCTCCTATTGCCACGTACTTGTAAGATCCAGCAGCCGTTGCGGCACTCTGCGATGAGCTGCACATGCTCTCGGTTACGGCGACCGAGAGCGTCCATGACATGGGCTATGGCAGCGATCGAGAACAGCAGGCGGTGAACCCCCACCCTCCTCCAAACTCTCGCGGTGGTCGTGAAAGACTTCTCGAGTCCTCGTCCTCGTCCTCCTCCTCCTCCTCCTCCTCCTCCTCCTGCTCCTCCTGCTCCTCCTTCCCTCCCTCCCTCCCTCCCTATCCTCCCTTCCCCTCCTCCTCCTCCTCCTCCTCCTCCTCCTGCTTAAGGGTGGTGGACTGGTTGGGCTGGAGTGTCGCTGGCAGGTCGGTGCAGGCGTGGTCGGACACCGCATTCCCTGCACGCGACGCCCGGCCAAGAAACCTCGCGTCGGGGATCGACTACAGCATCGATTTGCGCCAAGATTGGTTTCCTCGTCGAAACCATGGGACATGCTATGTCTTGTGTGGTAGATTCGACGAGGATCTCCATTGTAGATGCATTGTGTTGTAGATGTCTTGTCTTGTCTTGTGTTGTAGATGCCTTGTGTTGTATATTCGCTTTTGTCTTGTGATGTAGATGTCTTGTGTTGTAGATGTTGCAGGCTTGCCTCAGGGGTTCTTACCTGGTAAAGGTTCGTGCCTGCCAACGTTGCGTTGCCCACTGCTCGGAGGTCCCCAGGGCTTCACGGGTTACCCAGGTTCCCCAGAGTTCCCCATGTTCTCTGGGCAAGGGCTCCCACGAGGGCGCGAAGTTATTCGCGCTTCGCGGTCCTCGTTCCTGCCTCCCCCTCCTCCTCCTCCTCCTCCTCCTCCTCCTCCTCCTCCTCCTCCTCCTCCTCCTCCTGTTCTCCCTTTAGGGGGGCGGCGCGACAGCGCGAAGTTGTTCGCGCTTCGCGGAGCGCGACGCGGGAGGCGGCGGGTCGCCTGGTGGGGGGCTCTTCGCTCCACTCCGATCTCACCCTGGAACTCGAGTTAGTTGGTTACGTTGTTCATCTAATGTTATGCTGGTGAAGAGGGGTATGTCTGGTGGCGAAAGAGGGGTGCGGGTGCTGCTGCTGTTGCTGCTGGTACTGATGCTTGTGGTGGTGTTGCTGGTTCTCGTGCTGCGGGTGCTGCCGCTGGTGCTGCTATTGCTGCTGCTGGTGCTGCTGCTGCTGATGTTGCTGGTTCTCGTGCTGCCGGTGTTGCTGCTGGTGGTTTTGGTGGTAGTGGTGGTGCTGCTGCTGCTGTTGCTGCTGCTGCTGCTGCTGGTGTCGCTGGTGGTCTTGGTGCTGGTGCTGCTGATGCTGCCGCTGGTGCTGCTGCTGGTGCTGCTGCTGCTGGTGCTGCTGCTGCTGGTGTCGCTGGTTCTCGTGCTGCTGCTGGTGCTGCTGCTGGTGCTGCTGCTGGTGCTGCTGCTGGTGCTGCTGCTGGTGCTGCTGCTGGTGCTGCTGTTGCTGGTGGTGCTGCTGCTGGGCTGGTGCTGCTGGTGCGGCTGGTGGTGTTCCTGCTGTTGGTGCTGCTGCTAGTGCTGCTGCTGGTGCTATTGCTGCTGGTGGTGATGTTGCTGGTGCTGCTGCTGCTGTTGGTGCCGCCGGTGCTGCTGCTGGTGCTGGTGGTGGTAGTGCTGCTGCTGGTGACGCTGGCGGTGCTGCTGGGTGTCGCTGGTTCTCGTGCTGCTGCTGGTGCTGCTGGTGCTGCTGCTGGTGCTGCTGCTGGTGCTGTTGCTGCTGGTGGTGCTGCTGCTGGGCTGGTGCTGCTGGTGCGGCTGGTGGTGCTGCTGCTGCTGGTGCTGCTGCTGGTGATGTTGCTGGTGCTGCTGCTGGTGCTATTGCTGCTGGTGGTGATGTTGCTGGTGTTGTTGCTGCTGGTGCCGCTGGTGCTGCTGTTGGTGCTGGTGGTGGTAGTGCTGCTGAAACGCACTGGGGGGGAACCGCATTGGGGGGAAACGCATTGGGGGGAAAACACCAGGGGGAAACATATCGGGGGGAAGCGCATCCGGTTGAAAACGCACGGGGGCGAAACGCACTGCGGGGAAACGCACTAGGTGGAGACGCACTGGGGGTAAACGCACTGGGGAGGAGCGCGCCGGGGGGAAACGCACTTGGGGGGAAACGCCTCGGGAACGATAGCCGCCATCGCGACGGGACGCGGGAGGCGGCGGGTCGCCTGGTGGGGGGCTCTTCGTTCCACTCCGATCTCACCCCGGAACTCGAGTTAGTTGGTTACGTTGTTCATCTAATATTATGCTGGTGAATTGGGGTATGTCTGGTGGCGAAAGAGGGGTGCGGGTGCTGCTGCTGTTGCTGCTGTTGCTGCTGGTGCTGATGCTTGTGGTGGTGTTGCTGGTTCTCGTGCTGCGGGTGCTGCCGCTGGTGCTGCTATTGCTGCTGCTGGTGCTGCTGCTGCTGATGTTGCTGGTTCTCGTGCTGCCGGTGTTGCTGCTGGTGGTTTTGGTGGTAGTGGTGGTGCTGCTGCTGCTGCTGTTGCTGCTGCTGCTGCTGCTGGTGTCGCTGGTGGTCTTGGTGCTGGTGCTGCTGATGCTGCCGCTGGTGCTGCTGCTGGTGCTGCTGCTGTTGGTGATGCTGCTGCTGGGCTGGTGCTGCTGGTGCTGCTGCTGCTGCTACTGTTGCTGCTGCTGGTGCCGCTGGTGGTGCTGTTCCTGTTGGTGGTGCTCTTGCTGGTGCTGGTGCTGCTGCTGGTGCCGCTGATGCTGATGCTGGTGCTGGTTGAGGTAGTGTTGCTGCTGGTGCTGGTGGCGGTGCTGCTGCTGATGGTGGTTGGTGGTGGTGCTGTTGGTGCTGCCGTTGCTGCTAGTGCTGTTAGTGCTGTTGCTGCTGGTTGTGGTGCTGCTGGTGGTGCAAACGGTGATGGTGGAAGCATGCAGTGGGACAGCCGCCTCGGAAGCGTGTTATCGGAAGATTTTCGGACCCTGCGGGCACCCCGACCCAACGCTAGGAGTAGCACGTTGTGGCTCGAAGATCGGCTGCGTAATCACTGGAGAGGACATTTCTTGCCCGTTTGCCTGCGTTGTCGCCCGCCATGGCTGCCGTGGTTCCGAGCGTGTTCGACGGCATCGCCCGTGCCGACCTGGACGCTTTCATTTCGGAGTTGGAGTCAAAGTTCGGCGAGCCGGCGGTGGTGCAGAGAGCGGCGTCATTCTTGAAAAAGGTGGCGGCGCCTGCGTTGGCACAGGCAAAGGTGGATCCCGAAGAGGCGAAGCTTGAGGACGGCGCATGGGTTACAGACAACTTGTTGTTATTGCAGGCGGCCATGTCTGCTGAGTCTGACGCCAGTGGTGTGAACCATCGGGACGATGCGCCCGCGCAGTCTGCTCGCGGCAGCGCGGGAGAAGATGCCGTCAACACCCGCGCCCTGGTGCCTGAGAATTCCACGCCTCTGATTGTGGGCCGCCTCATTCTTCATCCACGGGTCCCTCCAGTGGCAGATCGGACGGCCTGCCGCAAGTGGATCGAGAGCATCCTCCCGGCCACTCTCCGGGCCGGACTTCGGAAAGCTGCCCCGAAGCCGCGTGGAGCAGAGGTGCAGCTCACCTTCGCGGGTGCGACGGGGGCAGCGTTCGACGAGGCTATCAAGCCTGCGTTGCAAGAGTTTGGTAAGGCGGAGCGTTTCAGCCAGGAGGAGTCGAACATCATTGTCGAGAATGACCAATCGCTCAAGCGGTCTCGCCAAGCAGTGGCCGCCGCGGTCGGAGATGTCACGGGCACGAAGGAGTTGTTGAACAAGGCGAAAAATCTCGCAGGCCCAGGTGGGAAAGCGAGCAAGAAGCGTCGCATGGCCCAGCACGTGGTGAAGAGCTTCGAGCTGGGCCAGCGCGTCGCCTCGGCTAACCTTCGCGAAGCGAAGGTTGAGCCCGACACGGATGACGAGGTGGAGTGATTCACGCGGCGTCGCAGGCCGCGCGCGCCGAGAGCGGCGGGGAGGCAGCCGCGCGACAGCAGGAACTCCATGGCCGGAGACCTCCGAACGTCTCGGAGACGGTTTGCCGCGCCGATAGGCAGCCGAGAAGAGAGCTCTCGCTGTCTGCTCACGCGAGTCGGCGACTTTTGTAGAGAGGCCCTGGCGCGGAAAGCGGCGAACCATTGTTGCTAGGGGACTCCTCGCAACGCAGCCGCTGACGCGACAATGGGTGAGCTTTTTTTGGTTGAGCTCCCCGGGGCCTCCGTGTACATAGGCAGTATATCGCTCAGCAATGCGCCGCGTCCTGGCATTTTTTCGTTGGGCCCTGGCGCCCGGGCTGCTGAAAGATCGCTGTGGGCAATATGCCGGCAGCGACGGCAGCGAGTGCGACAAAGGGCGAGCAACTGCGCTCCCGAGGGCTCCCTAGCAAAAGACGTCGCCCCGTGTCTTCCTTCACGCCCCGCTGTAAGAATCCGCTGTATCTTCGGGCCCTCTCGGGGCTGCTTGGGCCGTCTTGGCTCCTTTTTTGAGGCCTCTTGCGCCGTCTTGGAGCATCGACAAGCCGAAAAGGCGAGAACGCCAAAGCCTGTCGAAAAGTTCACAGAAAATCGCTAATTGCAGCCTTTGGGGGCCCTCTTGGGGGGTCTCCCGGAGGCTTCTTGGGGCGTCATAAATGCGTCTGGGCTCGTCTGGAGGCCACCTCGGCCGTCTTGGGCCGATCGTTCGGCGACGCGGAGCCCCGTTCGACCGTCTTGGGGGCCTTTTGGGGCCCTCTTGGAGCGCTGCATTGTGGAGGCCCCATGTCTTTCATCTCAGAATCACTCGCGCTGGTTTTTGTGAGTGGGGCAATCCGTGAATTTCCAGGCCACTTTGTTGGCTGCGTGGCCGCTGTCAGACGGCGTCGGGTGCCTTAGGCCGGCGCAGCATGCGCGTGAGTCATGCGTTGTCTGCCGTAGCCATTTTTACTCCAGGAGCCTAGGCTTTGCAGCCTCCGCCCCGTGCCCTCCAGTTCTGCGCGATGGCCAATGCACCCACGTTCTCTCGACGTCGCGCCCCGGCTTCGCAGAGTGCCGCGCAGGGTCGCTCGGTCGCAGCGCAGGGCCGCCCTGGCCCGATGACGGCGGAGATTGCGGTGCTTGCTGAGCCCGTTCCAGTGCACTTCGATACCATCTCGTCGTTGTCAGTTGCATCTATCGATTACACCTTGCTCGTGCGAGCTACCAAAAGCCACGGCGTTTCGAAGACAAAGAACGGCGCGCTCATTCGGGTCATCGAGGTGGAGGGCGCGAGCAGCAAGGTGAGCTTGAAAGAGTTCGGCGCGGTACCGCGGGTGTTGTAGGGGCGCGCAGAAGGGGACCTGCTCATAGTTAAGAACTTCCAGGTGCAGGAGTACGAGGGGGAGCCCAACTTGACCCCGTCCATCGGCAGTGTCATTGCGAAGCTGCCGCCCAACGCGATCGTCCCGAGTGCCGCGACGCCCCCGCAGCTGGACATTCAGCTGTCGACGGTGCAGAACATCCAGGGGGAGCTGAACGCGCTGCATTCGTTTGCGGGGACGGTCCGCATCGCCGGCGAGCCCATCACTGATAATCGGACCTCCCTGGACATCATGGTGGACGTCCCGACTCAGAACGGGACGTCACAGGGCATCCGGTTTCGCTTCGGGGACGAAATGGCAGGGACATTCCAGAGGCTCGGGTGCAAAAAAGGATCCCGCGTCATGGTCCTGGACGGGGAGTCATGGGGTGGCGGTATCCAGGCGTGGCCATGAACGTCCCGCATCCGCGTGTTGCCCAGCGATGCTCCGCTCCCAAGCCCTGCCCCGCCCGCGTCGCAGGTGCGCGCAGCGGCGCAGAGCCCAGGCGGGCAGGGTGGCCCCCCTCGCCCAGGCGCGCCGCCTGCGACGGAGCCAGCAGCCGCCTGCGGGGCAAGTGGTGGCCTTGCAGCGCCCCAGCCTGCAGACTCAGCGCTGGGAGCTGACCCTGCGGCAGCGACAGTTGAGCGGCAGCTTGCGGCGGCGCAGCAACGGATGGCTTCGACTCGTGATCCCGCGGAGCTGGCGGAGCTCGCCGTGCAGGTGGGCGGTCTGTTGCAGGGCTCTGCCGTCGTTTCTGTAACGTTGCCTGGGTCATTTTTCTTTCGGAGCGCCCCAGACCCAGTTTTGCGTTGAGCGCTGAGACATTGCGTCCCTAGGGACACATGTCGGGGGGGGGGGGTGCGTGCACTTTCGAGGGCGCCAGGCCGAAACGATCAAACGTAGAAACGAAGGGCCTATGAGGGAGGGTGTGAAAGTAGGCCCTCAGCGACCAAGTGGTCGTGGAAAGTCTGTATCCAGAGAGGTTCCAGTGATGGCCCCCGCAGGACCTCGAGAAGCGCAAGGAGCAGGGCGTGAAAGACGCGGCGGGGCCGGGAGCGGGCGCGCCAGGGCAGGCGAAGGTGAGCGACGCGGCGGGGCCGGCAGCGCGCGCGCCGGAGGAGGCCACGCGGTCGAGCCCCGCGGAGACAGCGGGCGCGGACGGCCTGGCGGCGGCGGAGGCCGATGGCGGCTCAGGGGAGACGACCAACAACAATGAGGATGACGACGATGACGGCTCTCCGAACAAGAGGAGGAAAGTCGCCGAGGCCGCCGAAAGCGCGGAGAAGGACAAGGACCAGGACTGAGGTGCAGCGGAGCAGGAGGCGCGCATAATAATGGGGAAGGGTGCGGGAGGGTGGCAGCGGGAATTTCGTCGGCTGGCGCCAGTCTGGATGGGCCCAGCCGCACCGTGGCGGAACACACGCTGTTCAGAGAAGCTTCGCAGCAGTCGCCGATGCGAGAATGGACGTCGAAAGAGAATCTGGCTTCGTTACTGAGGCCTGCCTGTAAGATAGGCAGGCTTTTGTTATAGGCGGCTAGCTGTATGCTGCTCAGCGTAGAGCTCAAAGGATCCGTCTAAGCTGTTTTTGAGCGAGTAGGACGATAGGGCAAAGTCAGTATCCGAGCAGGGAGGGGAAGCAACAGGATAAGAGGAGTTCAGGGAATGCAGCAATTGCTCACCGGGGCTTGCTATGTACATAGGCAGCGACTCAGAGGACCCCTGGCGCAAGGCGGTGAAAGTTCGCGGGGGGGAACGTGTCCAGCGATAGCTGCCGATGCGACAAAGGCCGAGTTTTTTTATTCTCCAGGGGCTCCCAGCTAGATGCGCTGTTTTCTACAAGAGTGGCCGTCCTTACGGTCGGAGCCCTGCGGCATTTCGTTCGCCCTCGCATCCTCTCCGTTCTCCCCCTTTGCTTTCTGTCTCTCGTCATCGGCAGGGGCGGGGGTGAGTCGCAGCAGCAGGGGCTCCGCCGCATGCCATGTTGGTAGCGGTGGCTCGGGCTTAGCAGGAGGAGCGACGATGGAGGATTAAGGGTCGCGGGTCGAGGGATTCTCGGTGGTCTTCGTCGGTCCTGGGAAGCTTTCTTGCTCTGGGGCGTCGTCGTCCGCGGCGGAGAGCAGACCCGAGCGCGCCGCCTTGAAATCAGCTCGCAAACGGCCGGGGTTTCCGAGGCATCCCCGGAGGTATCCCCAGGTATCCCCGCGCGAGGCGCCCTGACGTCTCTCCAAGTAAAGGGACACATGAAAATCAGACAAGGGGCAGGTCTCTACGACGACGATGACGACGACGACGACGACGACGACGACGACGACGACGACGCAACAACGACCGAGGTCATGCGCTTTCCGTGACATGGCTCCCTCGCGTCCAGCCGCGGCGACGACGAGGGCCCGCGAGAGCCAGAAGCCCTCGAATCTGGAGCCTCGAGGTTCGAGGTTCGTTGTTTGGGCGTTTGTCTGATCCCCTCGACGCGGGGGGGGGGCCATTGGCCCGCGAGCGGCGCTCCGGGGGGAAGGGCTGGAGGGTGCCTCTCTTGTTCCGTCGAGGTTCGAGGTAGAGAGGAAAGAGAAGGAGGAAGGAAATGGGGGGGAGGAGGAGGAGGAAGAGGAGGAGGAGTTCAGGGATCGAAGTTGAGCCAGTTTTTTTTTGTTGTTGCTTGCGGCCTGTGGGGCCGTATTCCGAGAAAGGGGCGCCGGCCTGTCGTTCGTCAGCGTCTTTCGTCGTCGTTCTTCGTCGTCGTCGTCGTCGTCGCCCGTTGTCGTCGTCGTTCCTCCCCCCCCCCTCCGGTGCGTCATTCCTCTCTGCTCCCTTGGCCTGGAGTGGCAGAGATGAGGAGGCGGTGGGGACGTCGAGCCTAGCGTGCGCGGCCTGGCTTTTCGTTATCGTGTTTGTCTCCATCGAGCGCGCTTCAGCGGAAGATAGCGGCAGCCCCCTCTTTCGACCCCCCTTCTCTCCCCTCCCTTTCCTTGATCCCCCTCCCTCTCTCCCTCCCCCTCCTTTGTATCCCGGTGCCCTGTCCTACCCTCCTGCGAACACGGACCCCTGAGGGCCCCTCTAGAGACCCTTCCCCAGCCTGAGCCCTTGCGGGCCCGTCTGTTGCCGTAGCCACTGTTATGGCTCGATAGGCCCCTTCCCGCGCGGACGCCCGGGCGCCCTCAGCCGCTATCAGCAGGAGGCAAGATAGAGCATCATCCTCTGGTCCTCTCGAGCTCGACTCCTCTCGCGACCCTCGGACGGATTCGCAGTGGCTTGAGCCAATACAGCAGCGAGAAGTGAGGAGCACGTGACCGGGCAGGAGCCCGTCACACGGTGACGATGGCAGACCAAGGAGGAGGAGCCGCCAGCGTGAAGCGGTTCAGTGGAGACGGCAACGATGGAGCTGCTGCCTACAAAGTGTGGAAGCGTTGGGCGAGGGCGGCGATTGTGGTCCAGAAGGCTAGGGGCACCCCAGCAGAGGCTCTGGGCCCATGGTTGTACACGCTCCTGGATGGACAGGCGGCCCTGGCAGTGGAGAACGTGGACTTGTCGGACATCAACGTGGACAACGGTGAGGAGGTGGTGTTCGACAAATTAGACGAGCGGTTCCCTGAGAAGGTGGCAGCGGATCGTCTTGGAGAAGCGATGGAGGAGGGCTTCAGCCTGCGCATCCAGAAGCAGGAGACGACGGAGGCCTACACCGGGCGCGCACAGCTTGTGTACGCGCGGCTGGCCAAGGAAGGCGTGGACCTTCCGTCGGTCGCCAGAGGCTACCTGATTCTGCGCGGTGCTCGGCTGGGACCTTTTGGTCGTGCGACGGTGATGTCGGCGACCCATCGGAGCTGGAACGTGGAGGAGGTGTGCACGGCGATCAGGACGGCGTTCCCAGGGGTTCCACCGGAGAGGCTCACGCAGATGGCGTTCGCGGTGGAGGAGGAGCACGGGGACACCGAGCTCGGCTCGCCGCCGGAGCCCTACCAGGAGGAGAGCGTGGAGGACGACATCACAGACGAGATCGACGCGATCGCCCAGGCGGCGGAGCCGATCGACGAGGCGGACGCGGTGGAGATCCTGGCGACGTGGAAGCAGACGCGCACGGCTATGACCAAGGAGAAGTTGGACCGCGGGCTCAGGCCTCAGTGGAAACCTCGACCAGGACAAGGAGGTCATGGTGGACCGACTCGGCACGACCTCGACAAGCTCGGCCGGAGGGTGAAGTGTTTTCGGTGTAAGAAGATCGGCCATTTCAGCAGGGACTGCAAGGAGCCCCCCCCGGCCCACAGCTCGCAGATGGTGTTCGTCGAGCCGATGGACGAGGAGGACCAGGAAGAAGCACGAGTCCAGGCAGTACTGGGAGCTGCGCAGGACGACGAGGGCACCGACGGGGACTTGGACTACGAGATCAACAGCATCCTGAAGGTCCATGAGGACAATGTGCTGGCGAGGCTCATCCAGCAGGAGCGCTGGAAGCGGCTGGCGCACGAGATGAAGGAGCAGCAGGAGGACGAGTACGCGTCGGTCGAGAAGAGGGCCGCCGAGGAGGGGACGGTCCTGGGAGTGACTCACGCCGACGGCTGTTCTGCGCCAGACACGGGGTGCTGCAAGTCCCTGATCGGCGAGGAGACGTTGACCAAGCACGAGGCGGCGACAGGCAAGCAGGCGAGGTGGTTGAAGGACGCCAAGCCGATGCGGTTTCGCGGGTTCGACAATAGTGTGCAGGAGTCGGTCGGTGCTGTGGAGCTGGACTGGGAGATCAAGAACTTCATCGTGACGTTCGTGGTGTACGTGGTCCCGGGCTCCGCAGGTTTCCTGATGAGCAAGCCAGACATGAAGGCTCTGGGCGCGGCCCTGGACCTGGAGACGGACTCGATGTACCTGAAGCGCCTTGGCCTCACGATTCCCTTGAGCGAGACGGTGGCAGGCCACTATGAGATCGATTTCCTGAACCGGGAAAAGAAGGTGAAGAGGCAGGCGCACACGTCATCAGTGCGCGTGCGGGACGCGGGGAGTCCACCCGCACGGATTTTTCAGTAGGGCCGGGTCGGAGCCCACAGGCCAGGAGAATGGTGACCGAGCTGTTCTCCCCACCTCGTATCGTGCCAGTAGCGGCGCGGTGCGGGTTCTTGGAAGGTCAGAGTCTCGACAAGGTGCACGGCTGGGATGTGGACAAGGACGACGACTACAACGCCATGTGGCAGCGCATCATCGAGGACGAGCCGTACTTCGTGCACATGTGCCCTCCATGCCAGAAGCTGTCGATCATGCAGCAGCGCATGCCTTTGGATCGCCGGAAGGATCTGGCACAGCATTTCAGAGATGTGAAGTGGTCGGTGAATTTGGTACATGTGGTCGTGGAGGTCGCGATCTACCAGATGGAGCGGGGCAGGCATTTTGTCTATGAGACCCCCCCGAGGTGCGCGAGCCTCCAGGTGCCGGTGATGAAGCAGCCCCTGCAGACCCGAGGCGTGTACGTGGGCATAGCGAGCGGCTGCGAGTTCGGACTGAGGTGCCCAGACACCCTGAAGTTGATGCCCAAGAGCTGGGAGTTCGTGACGTCTGCGCCGGAGGTCGCGAAAGCAGTTCACCAGCGGTGTGGAGGAGGACACGAGCATCAACATACGGAAGGCATGCTGAAGTGTGGGATCAAGCGCACGGTGTTCAGCCAACGGTACCCCAGGAGGTTGGTAGAGGCGATCGTGCGGGGCATGCGACGACAGTGTCAGGTGGAGGCGTTCAGCTCGGAGGCCGCGTGCAAGGCAGTGCAGGGAGAAGAAGAGGACGCAGATGAAACACGCGATGTGCTACGTCGGCCTCACAGCTCGATAGAGAGCAGCCCCAGGAAGTTGCATGTGCAACTCGGCCACTGCAAGAACAACGTGCTGATAAGACACCTGCGACACGCACACGCTACGGAGCAGGCGATCAAGGCGGCCAATGATTTTCATTGTCCAGAATGCGAGGGCATGAAGTGCCCCAAGGTCGCTCGACACAGTACACCAGCGGAGACCCATCTCCCTTTGAAGTACGTGAGCATGGACTGCAAGGACTTGCCGAGCTGGATCCCGGGCGAGCGGATCACCTGTCTGGGCATCATCGACGAGACGAGCTCCCTGCACCAGGTGGAGCCAATGATCGGCATGGCGGAGACGTCGAAGAACCTCATGGATGCTCTCGAGCGGGCGTGTATCCGCCCCTACATCCGTCCGAAGTGGCTGAAGGTGGACCCACACCGGGCGCAGATCAGCGACGAGTTCCTCAACTGGTGCGAGCGGCAGGAGATCGAGGTGGTGGACACAGCAGGTGGAGCGAAGGAGCAGAACGGCAAGATCGAGCACACAACCAGTTGTTCGAGATCATGCTGGAGGACGTCCTCCGCGAGGTGCAGCCCCAGACGGAGACGGAGTGGCGCGAGTGTGTCGCGGAGCTGGTGACGGCCAAGAACAGTCTCCTCTCGGTGACCGGGGTGTCCCCGATGCAGATGGTCTTCGGCCGCAACCCGGAGATCCCAGGCGACCTCTTGAAGGACGACCCCGACCTGATCACCAACAGCGCCATTGTGAACGACCCGATCGCGGCGCAGCAGGCTCGGATCAGGACGGTCACGCGCATGAAGGTTCTCATGCAGCAGGACAAACTAACGGCTCGACGGGCGTTGGACTCGCGGCCCAGAGTCGTGGCCAAGTACCTGCCCGGAGACATGGTGGCCGTGTGGCGCATGATGAAGAACAAGGGCATCCCAGGTAAGCGAGCCCACCACCGTTGGCGACCTGGTATCTGCATGGGCGAGGTGCGTGGCAACTACTGGGTGGCACTGCCGGGCGCGGTGGTCAAGGCGTCGCCGGAGCAGATGAGGCCAGCAGTGCGAGAGGAACGACACGCGTGGCGCATGGTGGAGGCAGAGCTGCGGACCAAGATGGTGAACCTGGAGCACTACAGCGGCCAGAGGTTCGAGGACATCACCGGAGGGGAACGACCCCCAGAGGGAGAAGCAGAACAGGTTCCCCCAGGTCCAGAAGTTCCAGCACCACCACCTGTCGTGCCAGAGCCGGGAGAGCAAGAACCTGATGATCAGCCAACTGACGGAGACGACAAACCCCCAGAGCATCCCACCGGAGGGAGACGCGTGCGGGGCAAGCAGACCATGGACAAGAGGACGGTGAGCGAAGCCTACCAGCCGCTGGAGGGCCACATGGATGAGAGCCGCGAGGAGCAGGATGAGGCCAAGCGTCCACGGCTGGAGGAGCAGACGACCATCGACGACCCGTCCAGCAGCCAGCAGCAGTTCGGAGGTGTGACTTATCCTCCGAGTCTGCCGAGCCCACCGCTCAGGGACTCGGCGGATGCACACCTGGCGAGAGATGTGGATGAAGACGTCATCGTGGACGAGGTGGACGTTCTGCTCACGCAGGGCAGTAAGGAGATCAACACCAAGGAGGACAAGTGGAAATCACCCGAGGGCCTCGCGATGATCGAGAAGGCGTACACCAAGGAAATGACGAGTTTGGTGCACGAGACCAAGGCATGGAAGCCAGTGGACTTGGAGAAGTCGCGGCTGCTGAAGACCCAGGTGCCAGATCGGATCTTACGTCCGAGGCCGGTGCTGACGTTGCGGACGGGCGACGACGGCAAGGAGGAGGTCAAGTGCCGGTGCACGCTGCAGGGTTTCAAGGACCCGGACATCCTGGATCTGGTGCGTGAAGGACGGACGGCGAGCCCTACCATGTCTACCAACGGGAGGGCGATGCTCTTGCAGACGCTGGCGTCCTGCAAGTTCGACCTGACCATCGGCGACGTGAAGTCAGCTTTCCTCGTGGCCGAGCCGGAGGCCAGGCCGAATGGTCCGATCTACGTGACGATGCCGAAGGACTACACGCTGAAGGGCTACCACCCGGAGCAGCTCTTCGAGGTGATCAACGGATACGGACTGGGAGACCAACCTCAGCAGTGGTGGCGCACGTTCGAGCGGTACATGTTGGAGGAGCTGAAGTTCGACCAGCACCCCATGGACCCGTGCGTGTTCCTGCTGAGGGAGCCCGTGACCCAGGAGAACGCCGGCCTGGTCGCCAAGGACAGGGTGTCGGTGATCCCGTACGCCACTGGATCTGAGAGCGCCCAGCTGCGCGGTGAGCCTGGCGCGCTGTGCGGTATCCTTGGAGTGCATGTGGACGATCAGATCAATGGTGGCCGCGGTCAGCTGTGGGCCACTGCGATGAAAAAGCTTCGAGCGAGGTTTCCATTCAGAAAGTGGGTGACAGGGAGTGGGGAGTTCACAGGATCGGTCCTCACTCAGCGAGCTGACTACTCGATCGTCCAGTCGCAGTCAGAATATACGAAGGGGATCACCCCCGCGAAGACGAGGAAATCAGCTCGGCCCGATGATGTAGCTCTGCCGTCGGAGGTGCACAACCACATTTCGACTACACAGCAAGGGAACTGGCTGGCGGGACAGACGAGGCCAGATCTGAGTTGTCAGATTTCCTTCTCCCAGCAGATCATGCCTCACCCGACGGTCGGCCAGATCAGACGCTCGAATGCGTGGGTCAGGAGGGCGAAGCAGTTTCACGAGATCTCGGTGACTTTCCAGAGTATTGTTCCAGAACGTTTGCGTTTCGTTTGCCACTCGGACTACTCCTCGAAGGACCTGGACGGGACGGGGAGGACACAGGGCGGGTACATCATAGGTGCGACGGTCTCTTGGCCCCCTGGTGCCCTCTGGTCTGGAAGTCCCAAAAGATCAAACAAGGGTGTACGTCGACACTGGCAGGAGAGAGCAAGCTCCTGAAGGCGTCTATGGGCCACCTGGAGTGGATCATGTGCTCGTTCGCTGCCACCCTGTACCCCATGTTCTGCCTAGAAAATCGTGATCGGTATTCCAGGAAGTTCTCGGCGATCAGCGTTATCGATTGCAAGTCGGTGTTCGACCACGTGACGAAACCTGGGGCCCCTACAGGACTCGATGACAAGAAGGCCTCCATAGACATAGCGATCGCCAAAGGGAGCCTCCGAAGGTTTGGTGGTACTCTTCGCTGGGGCCCGACGGAGCTCATGTTAGGAGATGCGTTGACAAAAGATAAAGCAGAAGCAGCAGATGTACTACGAGCGTGTATGAGAGCAGGAGCGTACCAGCTAGCCGACGAGTCCGTAACCCTGGCTAAGGCTCAAAGTGAGAAGGCGGCTCGTGCGAGCCGGGCAAGTGCCCTGGGCCAGCCTCCCGGCCTGGGCCATGGTGAAGTTCGAGGCGACGGGCAGCGAAGAGCAGGCCAGGGCATTTCTGCTCGGGCTGGTGGACGTCCACCCGGACGTGTCGTCTTGCGAGGAGTCGGAGGCCAGGGTCAAGGTGAGGGTGCCAGCCAAGACGCTCCTGGGCGCCGTGCAGGCGAAGAAGGGCAACACGCCAGTGACGCTGCAGCACGCGGCCAACACCGGGAACATCCAGGTGATGACGGGAGTGGCTCTGGAGGACGAGATTCGGGACAAGTGCAAGATGCTGGAGAGGGCGTGCGCTTCATGGCAAAGAGCACCGCTCGACCAGAAGCCGAAGTTGGAGATCAAGTCGCCGGCCACGGAGTTCTTCCGCAACAGCACGGTGAAGGCGAGCAAGAAGGAGATCGAGCAGGACGGCGACGAGAAGATTACGCTCCCGGACGACGAGGGATACTCCGAGGCGATGGACGCCATCCTCGAGAGCGTCGGGTGGTCTCTTTCCGAGTACCCAATGATGAGGGACAGGATTCTCAAGACGCTGCAGATGTACGTGCCCGACGGGGAGGGGGAGGCCACCCCAAAGCGAGCACAGGCAGTCGGTGAAGACGACGACGGCACAGGCGACTGGCAGATGGGTGACAGTGTGAAGGTCAGAAAGTGAGGAGCCAGAAAAAGAGAGTAGACGAATGCGAACACGGACCCCTGAGGGCCCCTCTAGAGACCCTTCCCCAGCCTGAGCCCTTGCGGGCCCGTCTGTTGCCGTAGCCACTGTTATGGTTCGATGGGCCCCTTCCCGCGCGGACGCCCGGGCGCCCTCCAGCCGCTATCAGCAGGAGGCAAGATAGAGCATCATCCTCTGGTCCTCTCGAGCTCGACTCCTCTCGCGACCCTCGGACGGATTCGCACCTCCCTTCCCGCATCTCCCCAACCCTGCTCCCCCCTCCGCCCCCTGCCCTGACCCTCGAGAGAGCAGCATGATAGTGCCGGGGCGTCAGGAAACAGCCCACATAGTACCTCAAAAGGCGCGTCAACGGGTGGGTAGCTTCTGCAGCAGCTCTGAAAAGCACGGCCCGAGAGCAGAAGTTTTGCATGTTATTTAATCGCTTCGTTCATTCCGCCGGCCCATATTGTAGCATCGCTGGCGGTTTCTTGCGTGCTCGGGGGGGCATTTGGGGGGCCTCCTGGGGCCGCTTGGGGGCCTCTGGGGGGCCTCCTGAGGGCCTCTGGGGGGCCTCGTGGGGCCTCTGAAGAGCCTCTTGGTGCCTCCTGGGGGCTTCTGAGGGCTGAGGGTTCGAATTGTTGTTTGGTGTTCCCCTCCCTGGGGCCCCTCTTGGGGCGTTCTTGGGGCCCTCTTGGGCCGTCTTGGAGGCCTCTTGGGCCGTCTTAGAGCTCTTTTGGGCCGTCGTAAAGCCTCTTTGGGGGCCTCTTGGGCCCTCTTGGGGCGGTCTTGGGGGCGTCTTGGGCCGTCTTGCGGCGTCGGGAAGCCGAAGAGGTAGAAACACCAAAATCTGTCCAAACCTTAAGGGGAAACAGTGAATTTTGTTTTTTGGGGCCCTCTTGGGAGCGCTCTTGGAGGCCTCTTCGGCTGTCTGGGGGCCATCTTGGGCGTCTTGGAGCGATATTGTGGCATCTCGGATCTCTCGTGTACCATCGTGGGAACCTCTTGGGGGCCTCTTGGTCCTTTTTGGGGCTCTCTGGGGGGCTCGAGGGCGGCTCCCAGGAGGAAAACCATGTCTGATCCGAGTCTGCCGGGAATCGCCCGGGGTAGTTTTCCTCAGGGGATCCCCAGGGGCCGCTCCGCGCGCGCGAAGTAGAAATATTGTAAAGCAGTTGCCGGAGATCTTAGCGCGCCTCTAGCCCGTCGGCCGGCGAATTGGTAGGACTTGTGTTCATCCATGAGTCGGCTCGGATTCTCCTCCTGGAGATGTCGCGCCAGACCTGGGCCCCCCCCAGTGTGTCGGAGCTATCCACTTGGCGCTGGTGGGGGGACTTCGTCGCCGTGGTTGGACTTGGCTCCAAGAGTTGGGTGGGATACGGTGTCTAGCGGCAGGTTTCGAGGGCGCGGGTGGGCACGCTGAGGTTACGTAGCGTTGGACATCATGCGGAGGAGATGGAGAAGGAGTGGGGAACAGTGTACTTCCCGACCGCGCGCTCTCAAGCCACCAGTGGCTGCTCGCTGCTTTTGTCGGGACCTTGCCCTGGACCGAGGGCGCGAACGCCGGTGGAAGCCATGGCGGAACGGTTGCCGACTTACCGTGAAAGTCGTGGGGTGCCGACTGTCCGCATCAGTCGTGGGGTGCCGACTTCCCGTAAAGTCGTGGGCTGCCGACTTGCCGTAAAGTCGAGGTGCCGATTGGCACTTAGCGGGTATAACCCGTGCCCTCCGGGGCGTCCCCGAAAGGGGTTATGTGTTCGAAGTTGGTTGTCAGTTAGTGCTTCTGGGCGTTGTTGCGGTGATGGTGTTACCGGGAGTCTCCGCCGTCGTGGTGGAGCGTCCGGTGACGTTGGTCGTGGCGTTTGTGGTGCTGCCGCTGTGAGCCGTCATGTGAATGGCGTTGCTGTTTGCCTTAGTCGTGGTGGCGTTGCGGGATGTCTTTCGGGTGTTAGGTGTAGCGCTCGTGCCGGCGTTTCTTGGCGCGGAGTCGTTGGCTGCCGCTGGCGTGGTGGTGGGGCAGCGGGGTCGCGCCATCGTGCGGGCAGCGCTTATGGTCACAATCGAAGCGGTCTCATTGGTGCCGCGTGCGCCTGCCATCGACGTGGTGGAGGTAGCGTTCGCGGTCGCCTTGGCGGGAGCGCCGCCAGTCGCACACGGGGTGCCCGTTCGAATTCGGTTGCCGTGTGTCGTATTCGTGGCCGCGGGTTCTTTGCCGGCATTCAGGGTGGCGCTGCTGGTCGCCGCCGTGGGTGCGGTGATGGCGTTGTTGTCTCGTGCTGTTGTGATGGCGGTGGTGATACCAGGCGCGGTGTTCCTTCAGGCTCTATCTCGGGATGCTGTTGTGGTGGTGGGTGCCAGTGCCCTGGCGACGGCTTCCCGTTCAGAACGCCTTGTCGTTGTCACTGGCAGGTGCTCTTGTCTGCTAAGGTGTGCCTGTATCAATGGATCCTGAATCGCACACCGTGTTTCGACGGTCGTCGTCGCCGTGGGAGTGCTTATCGCATTCGTGTTGCTGGATGTGGTGGTCCTGTTGGCCGTTGTTCTGGCGGTGGTGGGGCCGCTTGCTGTCGACGTTGTGCCATCGTTTGCGGTAGTCGCAATTGTGATTGTTGTGGTGGTGAGGCGTCCGTCCGAAGTCGCGCTAGTCCGAATTGTAACCGTCGTGTTGCTGTTGGCTGCCGCCCTTGTGGTGCTACAGTTTCTCGCGCTCGTGCCGCTCGCTGTGGGCTTGCTATTGTTTTCCACTGCGGCAGCGGTGCAGGCCGCAATAGGTGTCGTGATGGCACTGTTGCTCGCAGTTATGAACGTCGGTGTGCTGGTCGGCGCGGTGGTGTTCGTAGTAGGCGCGGTTGTGGCCGCATTTGTGGCATTGTTGCCGTTCATGGTCGTGGTGGCGACGCTGTTGTTTGCAGGCGACATGGTGGCGCAGTCGTCCGCATTCGGTATGGCGGTGATGTCTGCGGTCGTCTCGAGCAGGTCTGGGTTGCTGCCGTTGACCGTTGTGGAGGGTGCGTTGCCCGCTGCTACCATAGTATTGGTGTTGGCCGCACTTGTTTGTGCGATCGTGTTCGCTTTGACGTTGGAGCTGCCCATCGACAAACAGGTGTCGGTGCTCGCGGTCGCCGCCGTGGAAATGCTGCTAGTCACGGTCGCTGTGGCGGAGTGGATTTACCCGCGGGCTACAGATCCCCCGCCTCTGGGCCCGCGCGCGCAAGAGGGCATTGCCATCGAAGGTTTCCCACGGCGGCTTATGAGCGGCAGCGGGGGCTGAATGCCTCACTGGTGAACAGTCGCGTGGATGCGGGCGCGGTTGACTTACCCGCGGGGTACAAATTCCCCGCCCCGCGCACGCGCGCGCATGGCGGCGGAGTCGCAGTGGAACGCGTAGAGGATCCCCGGGGCAGTCGGACAGGGGAAGGCACGGCTCACTCGCGCGACGCGCGCTGTTGTTGCATCATGGTTACATCGGTGTCGATGGGCGATGCATGCGCGCAGCAAGCGTGCGGGGGGCACCATTCGTGACTCTTAATGACGTCCATGCGTTCCTGAATGTGCAGTGTTGGCAATCGTGTTTGCCGCAGTTTTCTGGCAAAGCGCGGCCCTGGCCATTTTGGGGCATGTGGCCTCTTTGTCGGTTCGCTGAGAGAGGGAGTTCAGACTTTTCGCATGAGTCAGAAGGGGCGTCCTCATGGCCATGGTTTAAAGAGTGTCTCAGGTGCACAGGGAATTGCCGCCGTCGTCGATCGTCGTGCCTCTCTGGAGAGGCGTCACCATCGCGAATTTTGAACATGTGCTCTCCGTGTATCCCCGTTCTTTTTTGCGATCTGGCTTGTCATCTGCGTGTAGCAGGGCGCCACGACCGCAGATCTGTAACTGTGAGTGTGCTTGCCCGTTTGCTGATCTGTGTCTCCGATCGTCATCCCGTCTGTCTGTCTGGGAGGTCTTCCGCGTGTCCGTCTGTCCAGTTGTTCGACGGTGTTCATTTTGTTGCGGTAGTCGGCCGCGGTGGTGATGTTGCTGTTGGTTCCTCCAGCGTGGATGAGAGTCCCGTGCTCGCAATTCTGCGCCTGTGTGCCAAGTTTGGGTCCCGCACTGCGCGGAGTGGCCTTCGCAAATGGAAAGACGATGTCCACTGTGAAACGTTGGACGCGCGCGTGGCGTTGACGCAGGCGACGCTGCATGGCGCCACGTTGGAGTGCGGACTCAACGGTTGCGGTTCTTGGGAGAAGTTGGCGCGCGCGTGGCCGCTCTTTCCGCCGGCCGTGGCGGAAGTCTCGGAAACTGGGCGTCACGGTGAACCGATAGCGACGCCCCCGCTGAAACGGTTGCAAAATCCGGAGAACTACTGCTGGATCAACGCGGCATTACACGCGGTGCTGGCGCCGCGCATCGTGCGGGATGCGGTTCGGTCAGCCCCGTCGGCGCCTGCGAGGCGCTGGGACTGGTGGCGTTTTCACAAGCGGGGGCGGGGCGGTGGGCAGAGTCGCCCGGAGGGGCCAGATTTTGACGCTCTGTTCGGGGCCGCCCTGAGCGATTTGACAGGCGACTTGCGGAGCCGGCCCGTTCGTGCCACGGCGGTCGCAAAGGTGTTCTATCGCCGAGCACGGGAAGATGCGCATGAGTTTCTGATGGAGCTGGTGGACCCCGAGCGAGCGAAGGTGGTGGCCGTGCCTTTCTGCTACGCAAACACAGAATCGATTCATTGCGGGGGCGCGCTCTGTGAGGGAGAGATTGGCGTGGGGGAGCTGGGGCCGCGGACTTGCGCGGAGGTGCCAGTGCTGACTTGTGAGGGCGCCCGGATCACCACTGCGCAGGACGCGATAAATGAGGCCTATCGAGCGTCGGAGATAGATGGAGATTACATGTGGGAGTGTCCACGAGCGCGCGGCCATGCTTCCGCGGAGAAGAGGATGCGGACGACGAGGGCGCCAGGAGTTTTGTGGGTGCAATTGAAAAGATGGACTTGGGACGCGCGTGCAGGGAGGGAGATTCCCCACTCGCGCCAT